CTGGATGAGGATTATACCTAACATAACAGCAATATATTGACAAAGCCTGCCTGAACCCTCTCAAATAAAGGAATGATCACAGCAATCAGATCAGATCTAATACTGCATAATTCAAATTTCAGCTTCTGACATCTGCTAATGTCACACATGTCTCAGTACAAGGACAACAAATGCACAGAGACAAATCTGCATGTGTGGGTGTAAATACAGACACACACCTTCTTTTGTAAACTTGTAATCGTCTTCTGCACGTCAGAGACAAAGTCTTGGAAGCTGCTGACTGATGGTTCAGTGCTTCTCTTGGAGGTCAGAGTAAGATTTACATGGCTTTCAACAGCTTGCTTCACTAGGCTGCAAAGACAAACAGATATAATTAGTTAGATATAGTAATCTTTCCATAGTCTTTGCTAGACTATACAGATAATATCGTGTATAAAATGTAACATGGCAGAATTCCTAAGTTGTTGCATGAAACATTCTGAACCTCAACAGCTGAATGGAAATCACAGAAAGAAGAGCTTCAGTTGTTACACTGTACAGAGAGAGCATTTCAGAAAACATATCAACATCACCATGTCTTTCTAAACATTTGGCGTCTACATTACAGAACAAGTGGGAAGGAACAATGTAATTTACTCTGCACAGGAAATCACCACCACGCTGCAGTGGTGGGACGGACTTTTGCACATTACTTCCTGATGGTGGCCATGCAGTGTTACCTGTCCTCCTGGATGCTGTTGGCAGGTTTATCCTCTTTGTAGCTGTGCTCAACTGATCTGCGTCCCCTGAAGTGGTATGACAAGGCATTGAACTGACCCTTTGTCCTGCAGTCTGGTGGGTCAAACACAACACAATACACTGTGGTTCACTAACAAGGGACAAAAGAATCACTGAACTTGACAGGACAAGGATTATTCCAAGTTGTATTGTCTCAACCAATATGATAAAATAGTTACAGTGAAGAGACCGATGAGCATATTGAAACAAAAAGAAACTACTACCTGTTAAATCACTTTTTATGCACAAACATAAATAAGCCACCCACAAATGAACATGCACACATAATGTACATGAGACACCAAGTAATGACGTCTGATGCCACTTTCTTTTGGCTTTAAAATGCTGATCCAAGACTCTGCGGCTTATCGTATTACCACGCCTCACGCTCCTGCTGACATCATTTCACTCCGATCAAAGAGAATCAAAGACACACACACACACACAGAAACAAGAATGCTGCTCCTGCACCAGCAGACATCTGGGGCATGCTGAGCATCAGCAAAGAATGTTGAGAGACACTTCATAATAAACCTGAGGTAGGACAGATGACTGGATCAGGGCCTGCAGTTAGGAAGGCTGCATCTTTATCTGTAAAGGCCTAAAGCCAGGTGCTCAGCCCCAGAGTGCCAGTCATTCACCAGAGAGCAGTCTGTAAACACAAAGGCTATCGAACACCAAGACTTCCTGTCTCTTGCTGATAGATGTGCATGAGTGCACCCCCCTCAACTCTAACCAAAGTTAACAATTGCTCTAACTTTACACTGTACTGTTTTCATTAAATTTGCCAAATTAAGCGGTTGGGGCCAGCCTCCGGTCCTCACAGGTGATGCCAGTCCCTGCGAAGCTAGCATGGTCCTGGTTTTTTGTCCCCACAACTAAAGAAAAACAAGGCCCCACATTCCAAGTTGTCTTTCACAGACTGATATAATGCACTCCCTAGCCCTCACCCTAACGTTAACCATTCCAACTAAATGCTGAACCCCGACCCAAACCTCATTCTTATCTAAACAGTAAAACCAAATCTTAACCTGAACAGCCCTGTGAAGGTGTGTGTCAAAGTGAGGAACAGCCAAAATGTCCGCACAACAATGCTACCAAAAAAACATTTGTCCACGCAATGACATCAATGGTTCACCCCCAGTAGAGTTCAGACACTGTTGAATGTATGACATCAATGTGCACACACATGTACAGTACATACAAGTTCTCAGCTCTGTTAGTCTGGATACAGCTTTACTGACAGACTCACAGAGACAAGCACATTAACTCTTCCTGTGTCTTGCTTGTGGCAGGATAGTCTCTGTTTATTAGCTTTGTTCTTCACTTGTACATTTTGTCAAGGAAGGGTGAACGCTGGGGTCGGGATCTGGGATGAAAGGCACCATGTGTTGCTTGTTAAAATGTTTTGCTTAGGGGACAAGAAATTGATGAAGTTGCCTGATATCAGTCTAGTTTGGTCGTTTGAAAGCTGAGATGACCTAAACATAGAGTTTTGCCCTTCCTGAAGCCACACTACTTTACACCAAGTGGCATCTAGTTGGATTCTCCTCAGACTGGAGGACTGTCAAGTAAATTGCAGTCAAAGAATCACCATGTTCCTTTTAAAGGGGATGTTCTGAACTGCAGCATATAACCAGTAATTATAGTGAAGGCTGCCTTGAGGAAGATGTTATCAAAGGCAAACAAACCAGCCCAGACACCAGTGTGAGCCACTGACTGAGACGTGTCAGCAACTTCCTGTGCTGTTCACCTACGTGTTCTCTCACCATGAAAGAAGGCGGATGCTTTCAAAAATTAGCCAAGGTGCTGGAAAGATGAAAGCGAGTGGCTGCGCACATAGCTGTGTTCAGAACACAGCTCACTGGAAACAGAAGACGTGACCTGCAAAGCGTTTTATAGCGCTTATCGACATTCGCAACTCATTTTTGTAAATGGATACTGCTATGATAGCAGCTTCTGAAATAGAAGCCATTCTAATTTTATTTATACTGGCTTTATTTGGTCTTCCAGTTCACTTATTTTAATACTGTGTCACATAGGATCTGATTAATTGTGATGGATGTCAGGAGGGGTTCAGCTGAGATTTATGAGAAGGGGAGAAGCCCTTCTATAGAATGCTGGTGATATTGTGGCTGCACCACAAACTAAACTCCATTCACCTACATTATATGTGTGAACTTTCAGAGACTGATATGCCAAATTGAAACTGTCTAAGTGTCCAGACACAACTAGGAACAGGCCTGTTTATTTATTCATTCATTGGTAATGTGAGTGAAGCAACTCTGTAAATGAATTTGAGGGGAAAACGTTCACCTCCATGAAGCACTCTGAAGCCCCAAAGACAATAACACAGCATACACCTGTGCAGTGGGGCCACTACACTGTCTACAGTAACTTACAAGGCTGAGGTCAATAAAGACTGTTTTCAATTAGCAGGCTTATTATCTGGTGTCTTATATGTTACTCTACTGATTAGATCAGTTCCATATTTGCTCCCTGTAATAAAGCACCAACATGCCAGAAAAACACATTATGATTCTCCAGAGGAAACAATTTTGGACATCTGCTAAAAATAAAAATACAGCAACAGCTTTGATGGTGCTGGACTCATCCTGAACAGTCACATCATTTCACTGTACAGACCGTATCTGTGCGCAGCAGCTGACCCATCCACTGGTCAGAGAAGCATTTAGGTTAATAAGGCTACAGTCAGATCACAATGCCACAACAGAAGATTTACAGTAATGAAGTTACCACTGTTGTGCCGCTTGTGTAAAGTGCCCATAGCTCCTCTCTCAGTGTGGAGAGGTATCAACACTGTTGCTGTTTGACAGCCACAGAGGTTTAATGAAGTCAAAGAAAAGGAGCTAACTAAACAACTGTAGAACAGTGAGAGACATTGTCTGAAAGTCAATGTTTTAAGCTGGAGCGGGTTGCAAGAGCTGCCAACACTGAACTGAAGGAGACAGAGCTGAGCTCTGACAGGGTGCCATTGGTTTCCACCCCAGTTTAACTCCTGGTTATGATCATTTGAAGCTCTAAGGATTGATGTTCCACTTCGCTGCTCCATATTGGAAGGTGTTTCTAATCAGACCTTATGTAAACGTTAAGTCCATTTTTTTGTGAAATGTGTGCAGTTTAATCTCAGCACATTAAACCATAAAACAAATAAGCAACTGGAGATTGTTTAAATAAAGTTTTGGACTATTTTAACACTGCAACTTGTTACTACAATAAAAATATATCAGAAAGGTTGTTTCCACACTGCATATGTTCCCACAAATGTATGCAATCAACAGATGTTGGGACACGTGTAAGAATTTTTCCATCGCCTCTGAGTTCATCCCAGTTCAGATCATCTGGGAATCATGTGAAGCCTATGACTTGGTCTTTTCTTCTAAGCTAGTTCTGACTTAGCCTGGAGCTATGGTTTGAAAGCAATATACAGTACTACTTCCTGCAGTGCAATATTTTCCACACAGTACTTCAGAGGCTGTAGCAACACAGCGTTCCAGCACTGCCTTTGTGCAGACAAAGCATTTGTATGCAATCAACAGATGTTGGGACGCGTGTAAGAATTTTTCCATCGCCTCTGAAGACTTAATTTACATGCACTGTTACAGAAAAGCTTTGACTTAACCCGTTACTTGATCCTTGGAAAAGGGCATTTTTAATATACATAAAAATTACACTATTTGCAGTTTTTGGTGACTTTAGCTATTTATTTTCAACTTGGGCGGTATATCATTGACTACTGGACCTAAAACTGCTTACACTTTAATACAGACCAGAAAAATGGAAAACCCTTCACTTGTATGTAATATTGGTTAAACAAAATGTAACGTCAAAGAACCACAGAAAGCAAAATGATGACAATAACCTGATAACTAAAAATCCTAAATCCTAAACTTCTTACCTTCACAGCAGTCCTGCCACATGCGAAGATCGATCTGAGGGATGTCGTCACAGCTGCCGAAGCCATGGGGCAGCTCGGCCACCCTGAAGACATCCTGCTGGATGCGTGTGATGTTGTCCCCGTTGTCGCACAGCACCCGGGCCAGAGAGGCCTGCTTCAACTGGGTCAGTTGGGCAGGAGTGAACACGCCTGGGTTTTCATACCAGAATCTGAACAAAACAGGGACCGGCAAGTTGAAGGACAGAAAGATAAAACACAATTTCTCTTCAACTCTCTCACATAATGGAAAGAAACTTGATAGGGTATTACATCAATGGCTTTAATTTTACGTGACTCTTAATACTGTCACTGGTTTTTTTTATATATATATATATGCACACACACACATGGTTGCACTAGGTTCAGCTAAACACAAAAAATATTGCTAAAAAGCTATAGTTCATATTACGACTTGGCTTCAGTTTTTAATCAAATGCCTGACCTCAGTACTTTCTGAAGAACAAAAAATGGGAAAATAACTCAGTACTTAGCATTCTGAAGAACAAAAAATGGGAAAATAACCTGGTACCCACGACAGTGGTCACTGGGTGTACTTTCATGTCATCACAAAATGCATTTGTCAGTCATGAGATGAATTGTACTGCTAGCTTAACATACCTGTCACCATCCCGTACACGTTTGAACTGAACTGCAAGCAGGCACATAAGGGTGGGCCCTAGTCGACTGCCAGGGACCAGGTCTTCAACCATTAAGGCAGGGAACAGGTCAATGTTCAAAGGAGTACCATACAGCCTGCCATACAAGAAAAACAGTCAGGATAGTCGACTTTGTAAACATGCTGCAATCTATCATTAATTCAAGGCAAACCATGATGGTCTGTCATAAAATTAGGACAAGAACCTTATGAAGACTTGCTTTCTGTGAATTGTTCACAGATAGGTTCATAGCCCACAATTGCATGGTTCCATTTGTTGCATGGCCTCAAGCCAAGTTGGGTAACATTCCAAAAATATTAATAATCATTTTGAGGGTACATTTACCTCTGTAATTTTTCTCTGACATTAGGATTCTTAATCTCGTTGTTCAAGTCATCAAACGTCTCAGCTGAGGTCAGGTTACAAAAGGTCCTGTAATCGTTGTATGGCGGTATTCCATGATCCCTTCCTCTCTGTATATTCATAGCAGCCAGGTCCAGGGCCACCGTGTGCGCCATGGAAAACAACCTCTCTGTCAGCTCTGTATTCAGCAGTTGTGTGGAAACACGCATTTTACCAGCGACGCCAAAGAGCCCACGAAGGAGTGGGTCAATGCCACCTTCATTCACTATGCGGAACGGGGAGAAGAAGGCACGGTGCAGAGAGAGGTGTCCCTGGGGAATAGGCTGGAAGTCCTCATCTAACCTGTAGAGTATTGGGTTGATGAGAGTGTGTCCAAAGCGGAAAGCAGCAGTGGCGAAAGCACTGAAAATGCCGCCGTTAATATTAGGGTCGTAACCTGCATATGGCCCCAACATCTTCATGCCTGCCTCTCCCAGTATCTAAAAGATAGGACAAGGAATGTAAAAGACTTTCTTCTCATCTTGAGAAATAACCAGAGAAACACTAGTTAAAGAAAAACAGAAGCATAACAAAGAAATATTAGACTTGAGCTGATAGTTCTTACCTTTGGCAACCAGTGACTATAGGTGATGTGCTGCATCTGGGCCCCCACTATCTTCCTGGCCTCATGATAAATGGTGTCCCCATCCCAGTGGGGATTCAGCCTCAGTAGCTCAGTGGCTATGCGATTGTGTTCTCTGAACCACAATGTGTGCATGGCAGTCAAACCAAGCTGCTCATTGGCACGGTGATCTCCAGCTAAGAAACATGGAATTGGACTTTCGTTCTCATCTCTCATACACTCAGTAGGTGGTCCAGTGGCAAATGGCAGAAGTGGCTTTCCTGTCCGCTGAATAATACCTTGCCGGAGCAGACCCCTTTGGCTGGCCAAATCACGGACTTCCTCCGATTCATGTCGCGAGCTGCCGTAGACATTTGAGGCATCGATGTAAGAGGTTATCTGGTTGATTTGCTCTCTTGGATATACACTGTTCATGAGCAGAGATGTCATCCCACTGCCACACACTGGGCTGGATCGGACAAAGAACATGCAACGTGTGCCACTTTGCAGCTGCCGTGGGTCATTGGGTGGGAACTGAATAGGGAAACATGGGGGGTCATTGGTGCAGAAATTAGTACACAGCTGGCCATCAGAGAACCGCGACTGGCTGAGGGCAACCACTGTTGCGTCCAAGTCATGGTCTAGGAACTGACCCCACTGCATCAGTAAGTGAGTGTAGCGGTCATCGGGAGTGATAGTCTCTGTTCCAATCATGGTGGTGGACACCAACCTCGGCAGTGGCAACCTGTATCCATTATGCAGCCGGTCAGTGGCACCTCTCGGCAGGTTAAACCCGTTGTCATAGACGGACTTCAAGAGCCGTTCAAAGGCAGTGAGTGAGGCGCCCCACATAGGGTGTTGCAGGTTGTTGCAGGTGCCATCGTGACTACGATACTTCTGATGGAAGCAAATGTCCGAGCAGTTGTTGAAGTGGCGGTGAGCTGTGCATCCGGACAGGTTGGCAATCATATCCAGAAAGCGAGGGGACACCAGATCATTGTAACGAAATGCTGTGGAAAGGCAACATAAATTTAACATATCAGAAATCTAATAATAAATACATGTTTGATTTGTACAGCAAATATTTTCAGTAAGAAATATAAAACATTTTTATACCCTAAATGAATTAGAGCGATGGTACACAAAAATCAGTTTATGTACCTTGGTTTTAAAGTCAATTAAGGAAAAAAAATACAAGTCATTAATTGCTTGTTTTTTATTATAAAGCTTTGTCAACATCAACAGTCTATAATGTTTATGCCTCCACATCGGAGACAGCTGCGGCTATACGCATTATGTTTTGTTGTCCTTT